ATTATATATTTATAAATTATATATAATATAATTTATAAATATATTTATAAATGAATTAAAGTGTGATAATACCTAAATGCTTCTTGAGACAATTTTTCCGGTGGTACGTCATCAGGATTCAATTCCATTTGTTTAGGTTTCATATAGGATACATCATCTGTTATTGTTTTTTTGTCTTCCTGATAAGATTGTTCGCAGCATTGTTGTTGTGCATTGTTATTATCCGAATTAGTATTTTGATTGCGACGTAAAACTGACCAAGTGAATTCACGAAATGCTGAACCACCTGATATCTGATTGACCGATTTGGCTCTTGTAAAACGAGATGACGATGATCCAGATGACGATGACGATGACGATGTTGTCGAATTGCCACGATTAGGTGAACAATCCGTCGTAGTAGTATCAACTGCATGAACGCTTCTACTTCGTGGTACACGAGCATTAGTTTTGTCCTTGGATTTGTTCTTCTGGTGAAGAATAATCAGGCTCTTATGGGCTCGGTCCAAAAAACGTGCCACTTCTTCCATTACTGATCGATACATTTGTTTATTTGATTCGATCTACAACAATTTCATAAATATGTATGTATGTATATATATATTTTTTTCTATTGAGATTATTAATATTTTAAGTGAGAAAAAAGAAACATTAGAAAATTATTGTTAACTCGATCAACAGGAAAGTAAAGAAAATGTTTTCAAAATTTTGTTATTTGATTGATCGTTTATATTTCAACCGATTTTGAAATTATATATATTGAAGATTATTTATTTATTTATTTACGGAATAAACTCATTTTTACATATATAATAATTTAACAGAAATATTATTTTATTTCATTAAAAAATAATAGCATAAATTTAAGAAAAAGATCTGATGAATTAGGTAAATGATAAATAATATATATATATATCTATATAAATAATGATTAATAAAATTAGTACGTTAATAAATCCTTAATTAGTAGATCTTAATCCTTGATTCTAAAATTCGTATATAAATTTAAGAAAAGAGATCTAGTAAAAAAGGAAATAATAAGTAATATATAAGTAAAAAATAATAAAAATAATAAACAATAAATAATTATAAAATGTTATCTAAATGTTACTGCTAAAGCACGAAAACTGTTAATGTACACATTTCCTAGCTAATCTGCAGATTAACTGATTTGTTCATTTTACCTAGGTAATGTGAGAAATGAAACAATTTTCGATCATTCTAATTAATCTTCATATTATCTAGAAAATCTGTTAAATAATTGATAACGATAAGATTTATTTATATGTTTAAAAATGAAAATAAATGAAGAAAAAGGTAAAAAAAAAACAAAAATGATTAAGAAAAAAAAGGTTGATTCGTTTTATTTATGTTTGGAAAAAATAAATAAAAAAAAAAAAATAAAAAAAATGATGAAACAGATTGAACGTAATGATATTCGTGAGAATGTCGAAGGCAAGGACGATAAGGATAAAAGACGAATTTAAGACCGGAACGCGAAATCAGGCATGAACGAGGAAGGAAAGACGAGAGGGAAATCCGATTAAATAACTGCACTGTTGGATAGTTGTACCGGTTACAACTTACAACGAGTCGATATCGAATAATCGGAGCAAGGTGAACCAGTTTTGTTGGAAATGTTATCAATCTTTTTATACGTGACTTTTATGATATTTTTAAATGTTATTAATAATAATAATAATAACGTTTAATATAATGTCAATAATAACGAATTTAAATAATAAAATTAATAATGTCAATA